CTCCGCCGCCCCATATGCGTAAAGTGGCCCTTTCTTTATCGCCGCGGCCCTGTATGAACGCTTACCGCTTTCTGCCGCTTGGGGCGCGTTGGGCGCGGCAAAGTTGCACGGTTTTTATATAATATTTTACCGTGAATACAAAAATATACAATAAAAGGGGGCAAAAGGGCGCTCAAAAACAGCGCAACCTGCTAGCCTGAGTGTGTGTGGGCGTGTGTTAGGGGGGGGGGGGGATTTCCACGTGACAAGGTGGTGTGGGGTACCATGTCAGCAAAATCGCGAACCGTTTGAAATTTTCTGCATGCGAGGCAACAATAGTTGTGCAGCCGTATACCGATATACTCTGCAGCGGACAAGGCGGGTTTGGCGTAGCAGACGCCAGCAGCGGGGAGCTATACGCTCGTTTCATTCGCGGAATCCGGATGGTCCGCGATATGCCGGGGCATACCGACCGTGCGCACGCCGGAACTTGGCTCCGATGCGTTGGCGGGTAAGCAGGCGAAGAAGGCAAGTGCATGCGGCACGTGGGTGGTATAGTAGAACCCGTCCGGCGGTCTTCATCCTCCTCACGCGCGCCGTCGCTCGGGGATTCAGGAATTACACTAAAAGTCCCATCAAGGAATCAGCTGGAGCGTGCATTTGCGGCTACATTGCGCGGGCGCAGAGAGAGAGAAAGGTTCATATCGCTACGCTAAAAACGCGACGACTACTACCATGCGGGGCTCCTGGGCATGCGTCAGACTCCCAGACGGCGCGGAGCCGAGCGTCCAGCGTCACTTATGGATGACGACGTCCTGGTCGAGATGAGTCACGGCGGCGCCCGGGAAGCGTCAGGACCCTTGCGCCACACTGGTGGGGGGGGGGGGGGGGACACCACCTCCCCCTACGCATCTCGAGGGCTATGGTAGTACTATAACGCTCACCTTCGACGGCCACGGACGCGTAGTGATGGTCCGCCCCGTAGATGTTCTCGACGCTGACGACGTACTTGCCGGCGTGGTCCGCAGACACGGGCTGCAGCGCCAGGCACGACACGCCACCCGCCGTGCGGATGGAGGTGCGGTCATCCTCCACCAGCTCGCGGCCCTGTCCGGAAGAGATCGAACATTTCATATGATGAGAAGTTTCAAATTTGCTCAATAATTTTCATGCTTCTGAAACAGTAAAAATAAAAAAAACGTTTGATGGACACCAAAAGAAGTTTGCAGTTAGGTTAACAGCAAACATTTCTGCTGTTTCAGCAAAAATGTTTCCTGTTCCAACAAAATGTTTCCAGTTCCACCAAAATGTTTCCAGTTCCAACAAAATGTTTCCAGTTCCATCAAAATGTTTGAAATTCCAGCAAAGTGTTGTTTGTTGTTTCAGCAAACCGCAAATTTACAAAGGCCCACTTCCGTTCCAGCAACAAAAACACCATTTTGCGCGAGTTTTGTTTACGAAACGTACCGCCCTGAGCCAGCGCACGGCGGGCTCCGGCTCGCCGGCGTACAGGGCCGTGAGCTGCACCTTCTCGCCGCGGAGCGCCGTGGTGTCGGAGGGCCCTCTCAGCAGGACGGCCGGCCGCTCCAGGCCGCAGGCTGGGCCGCGCTCGGAACCGTTGACGGCCCTGCAAGCACAAGGCCACATGACCTCTCGGACTGTCATTTCAGCGAGAGGAGGCATAGGCCCTCGCGGCACACCTCTATACTTAGAGAGCGTGTTCCGCGTCCGGAGTGTGAGTCCGGCCGGCAATCTGTACAAATAAGTCGACTTGGCGCGAAGATCGACGCGAAATAACGCCTCTTCCCTCTCTTTGTCTCTCTCTGCCTCTCTCTATCTCTCTTAAAGCCACTCACTCTCTCTCTCTCTCACACACACACACACACTTGCTGGCTCAGTCACTCACGTCATGTGTGCCTCGGCCGCCCGGGAGGCCCGGCCGCCCGTTGGGTTGCCTGCCTCCTCGGCGCGGCTGCGTTCTCTCCTCCTCCTCCTACCTGTCGAGGCTGGCTGCCCTGGCGTCGCGGGGCTCGTCTCCCAGCACGATGAGGTCCGCCGTGCACGAGAGGTCGAAGCAGGCCGCGCCGCACGGCGTGCACGAGCCGGAGCTGGCGCGAGAGCCGCACGCGTGCACGCGGCACTGCACGGCGCCGCCGTCCTCGGCGGCCACGCGCCGCACGTGCAGCAGCAGCTCGTCGCCGTCCTCGACCACCTGGGGGGAGCGGAGCGGGGTGACGGATCAGCATGGTACTCCTTTCCCCGTTAGCGTGTGGGCGCCGGACACCAGCAGCACCCGCGCTACATATTTCACACACACGCACGCACACCACCCTCCCCGCCGCCATACTCTTCCTCCCATTTGCACGCAGGGCGGAGGCAAGGCAGGGCTTGGAGGAGTCAGGGAGGAATGTTGCAGGGCGTGGACAGAGCAGTCGTGGTCGTAAACACTGGACCGGCCGGCCGGAAGCCCTGAGTTGAGTAATGGCCACCCAGCCGACCCTATACCGCTGTACATACACTACTGTCTCTCTGAGCACCTACGAGGCCGTCACCGCGTCCGCACGCACATCCCCTTGTACCTACCTGGTACTTGACGTTGTCCGAGGCGACGGCGCGTCCGGCGACGCTCCAGGTCACCGTCCGGGGCCGTTGCATCGGGTCGCTGAGGCGCGCGCAGAAGGACGCCGACGTCCCCGGGGTGGCCATCACGCCCAGCGGCGTCTTGGTCCAGGTGGCCGCGACCCCCGCGACGGCAGCCACGCGCGGCACTCCGTCTGTGAGCGCGTCCAATGAGTATGGTTTGTTAAAGGAGGAGGAATGTTGAGGTAAGGATTTGAAAGACGGAAAAAACCCGGAGGAGTTGCAAAAAAAAAAACACCAAAAAACAACCAAAAACATGAAAATTACAGAAAAAAACTTTGAAACAAGTCCCGCAAAAATTTTTCACTGGCAAATCCGGAAAAAAATCCGGAAAACTTGAATCTCTTTGTTGAGCGCATCCGACGGGTCCGCACCTGTGACGGTGACGGTGCCGTGCGTCCGCGCCTCGCCGTGGCCGTTGAAGGCCTCGCACGCGTACGTCGCCGTGTCCTCGGGGAACATGTCCGGCATGACGAGCGCGAAGCGGCCCTCCCCGAGCGACACCTGCCTGAAGTCGCTGCAGTCCGGCAGCTCCACGCCGTTCTTGAGCCAGACCACCTGGAAAGGTGCGGAACCTGGGGAAGGACACATACCGGGTGACTGTGTAAAACCTGACGCCGGATGAAACCTATTTTTTTTCAAAATATTTTTAACATAGTGTATGATGTCGGCCATTTTCATTGAAAGATATATTTGTCTGCCGCTATGTCCTTTGTCGAATACCTAATACTACGAGGAACAAGAGGAAGACAGCCCGGCCGGGGTGGCGTGGCGTAGCGCTGTCAGTGTCAGTGTGTTGCCGCGTTTTGCCGGAAGTGGATGTGTGTTGATCTGTTGCTATATCTCAATCCTAGTTTTGTGAAATTTGTAAGAAAGTTGGGTCTAGATAATGTTGAGTTTGTATTCTTGAGTCAAAAAGTTGTTCTATCTATTAAGTTTGGTTAGGGAAAAACAAGTTGCATAATCTTCAAAACCGTCCCGGTGTGATCGTCTAGGTTAGTGTGCGCACACATCATATTCATACAAGTTCAGTTCAATGATTATGGCTCAACTCGAGTTGTAGGAAATTTATCTTTTCTTGTGTAAATAGACTGTGAAAAATTGAACGTTTTTCAAGTCAGTTCCAGGTATTCTTTTCTAAGACTGAATCATGACCGAATCATAGGTTTAGTTGCTGTCACACTTGCAGTGCACATGTTTTCAACTTCTGTCAGTGATCCAACAACAGTATTTGGTCTATTTCGTCGAATCTCAGCACCTTGAGTGAAACAGGACTGTTTACTATGGTGTTGTGATTTATCGGCTGTTACAAGTCACTTTGTCGAAATGTGTCTCTGAATGAGGATGTTGTTTCAACTTGAACAAGCGTTTGGTATCCCATCATTGTTTGCCGCTTGTGACTGTCAGGGAAATTCAATTATCCATTGCAGAGTCATTTAGAGTAACGTACCAAAAGTCATTGACATAATTCTCATTTCTCTATTAAATTATTTTACCGTAAAGCTTCCTCCTTGATAATTTGAACAGAGATTGCAAAAAATGTAAGTCGTGTCAGTTGTATCAAGTTATGCTTATGTTTTAGCACAACTCAAGTCTACTGACTGATAAGTACTGTTGCGTCAAATCTAGGAGGACTATGAGCCGTGAAATATTTCACTGAGACTCTTCAACCTCATTGCCTGCTCCTCTTGTGTCCTACTCAGCACTGCAGTCTCGCACCTACCTCTGAGTTCAACCTGCAGCTCCAGCGCCTTGCCCTCGTGGGCGTCCGTGTGCCTGGGGATGCCCTTGACGAAGACGGGTGGCCGCCGGTCCGCGTCGCTGGGGTCGCCCTGGTCCAGGACGAGGAGCTGCGCGGAGCAGCGCGTCTCGCCCGCCTCGTTGGAGGCCACGCAGATGTAGACGCCCGCGTCCGCGGCGCGCAGCTCGCGCAGCGTGAGGCGGCTCACCCGGCCGTCCCAGGACGGCGTCGCGCGCGATCCGCGCAGCACCAGGTCGCCGTCCCTGCGAGGGTGAGTCCTTGAGTGCAACGTGTTGATGACGGACAGTGTGTGTGTGTTAATTCATGCAGAGACCAATCGAAACTTAAAACCAAGACACCCAGGATTGTTTTTCAAGATATAAAACTTTGCAATGTAATTACATTTTCCTGCTGTAGTTCATGCAACATATAGTTTACTTGTCGGGCGTTCGGGGTTATTCCTTGATAAAGCCCAATATGATTTAATAAAATTATCAGAATCAAGAGCACTAGGTGCGTGTGGTCGGCCCCTCCGGCAGGCCGTCTATGGGTCTGCTACTCGGTAATAACAGGTGAGCTGGTGGCGTGCCCCGGGGGGGTCCCGTCGACGCTTACTTGTACCAGTTGGTGACGGGGGCCGGCGAGCCGTCCAGGTCGCACGAGAGGGTCGCCTCCCCGCCCGCTCTGGACACCTGGCTGGCGGGGCGCCGCCCGAAGGCGGGGGAAGTCCTGGCCGGCGAGGAGCCCCAGGCGCGCAGGGGCTCGGGCCGGACCGGGAGGCCGCGGTGACCTGCGAGTCGATGCAGATGTGGACACTATAACGACACACGATCCTGGGCGCGGCGCGGGCTCACCCGTCCCGAGGGATCACCGCCGCGCTCAGGATCATAATTTATTCAGCAGACCACCCTGCTGCTCTCGTGCTCGCATGGCGCCGCTGCGGGACTCACCGATGACCTCGAGCCTGGCCGTGGCCTCCACGCGGCCGTAGTCGTTCTCGATGACGACGCGGTAGATACCGGCGTCCTCCGGGGTCACGCCGCGCACCTCGAGCACGCGGACGTCGTCGCGCTCGCTGACGGTCACCCTGGCCGTGGCGGCGCACGACACGCCGTCCTTGTCCCAGCGCGCCCAGGGCTGCGGGTGGCCCGCCACCGCGCACTGGAAGCGCACCGTCTCGCCCTGCTCGGCCACGCGGTTGTGCGGCACGGCGTAGAAGCGGGGCGGCGCGGGCCGGGTGCGCCGCGGCCGGTCCAGGCTGGGCGCCGAGGGTGCCACCTCGCGCAGGCCGCCTCCTGCAAGGGAATCAAAACGACGCTCGAAAATGCACCAACGATTTCTCCCAGCTGTTTAATGAATGAACCTCCAAACCGCCCCACTCACTAGGGATGTACGGCGAGGCGCTGCGCGACGGGGTGGACCTGGGCGTCGACTTCGGGGTGGACCGGGGTGTGGAGCCGGCGGACTGGAGGTTGTTGGGCCTGTCGAGCTGGCCCGACACCAGGTTCTCCTTCTCCTCGGGGACTGCGCCGGGAGTAAACACAACATTATTCCTTTCCTTCCCTTTTAAATTTATCGTTATATAACATGGCACATGACACATATCGTTTTACAAAATATTTTTCCTGCTGCGTTTGCCTCGGGTTTTATAAAGTTTCTATAGTGACCTCGAAATTACACGAGTCGGATAAGCGAGCGAGGGTCATCCATCATCCAGTCAGGCCCCGCGGACCAGGTTCAAATTTTGGCACAGTGACCTTTTGGTTCGAGCCCCAACCAAGAGTTGCATAGTTGTATCTGAACGCGTTCGTTCAAATTGTAAAGTGGGAATCAAACTAAATCCAAACGGCTTGGTCTTACCGTCGACGACGAGGCATGCCTGCGTGGTGGCTCTGCCGAGGCTGTTGAAGGCCACGCAGCTGTACTGGCCCTCGTCCTCGGGCACCACGCGCTGGATGCGCAGGCGAGCGCGCACGACCCGCGCCTGCTTGCCATCTTCCAGCACCTCGGCCACGTAGTTGTCGCTGAGCCGCACGAGCTGCACAATTTAAATATTACCAACCGCTGTTCAATTTTTCTTTCGTGTCCGCTGACGCGCTTCGGCCAGAGAGACTAGCCGGTAATTACGGTCCATCGCCACGCCACCCCCGCGGGCCGGGGCGGGGCGCAGATGCTCAGCAGTCGCAGCGCCACGCCCCATCAATATGACGTTGCGGCCGCTGAGTCTGTCTGTGTGTCTGAGAGAGAGAGAGAGAGAGAGAGAGAGAGAGAGAGAGAGAGAGAGAG